GAGTTCGAGACCGGCCTGACCAACATGGTGAAACCCAGTCTCTACTAAAAATACAAAATTAGCCCAGCATGGTGGCACACGCCTGTTATCCCAGTTACTCGGGAGGCCGAGGCAAGAGAATTGCTTGAACCCAGGAGGCAAAAGGTTGCAATGATCTGAGATCACGCCATTGCGCTCGAGCCTGGGTGACAAGAGCGAAACTACGTCTCAAAAAAAAAAAAAGTATGTCTTCTGGCCATGTTAGCAGAGTAGAAGAGTGTGAGTATTAACTTGAATCTAATACGTATGTACGATGTTCATATACGTAGCCAAAATTTGGACATTTTTTAGAGAATCATGCTTTTTATGTAAGAAAACAAACAAACCAGGCCGGGCGCGGTGGCTCACACCTGTGATCCCAAGACCTGGGGAGGCCAAGGCGGGCGGATCACTTGAGGTCAGGAGTTCGAGACCAGCCTGGGCAACATGGAGAAACCCCGTCTCTACTAAAAATACAAAAATCAGCTGGGCGTGGTGGCGACTACCTTTAATCCCAGCTACTCAGAAGGCTGAGGCAGGAGAATCGCTTGAACCAGGAAGGTGGAGGTTGCAGTGAGCCAAGATTGTGCCATGGCTCTCCAGCCTGGATAACAGCGTGAGACTCCATCTCAAAAAAAAAAAAAAAAAAAAAATGCTGTGGCTTTCAGTATCTAGAGGTGCTCCTATAATGGCTACATCAATTAATGTACCCACTTTAAACCTTGTAAACTTATTAGGATTCTGGTTGGTAAAGAACATTAAAAATGACAAGTTCATTATATAGGTGCTAATTTTCATTACTTTGACTACTGAACACACACCAGGTACTAACAAAGAATGGAGTATTCACCTGAGGATTTAAATCTATGAAAAGGTGTTAAAACACATACATAAAACATAATAAAATGAGATCACAACAGTCTCTTTCTATCTGAGCTTACTTTCCCTAATTTGGGTTTGTCTGTTAGGTCCACTGAGCAGACTTAGTATCTTTGGACAAATAGGAATTCAATGAAAATGTATTCTTAAAAGTGAAAAAGGCGGATTTGCTAGGTAAGTTGCTGTTTCTCAAGGAGGTAGCCTGGGTGCTAGAAAGCCAATCCAATCCAATCCAATACAATACAATACAAATACAATATAATACAATCAATACAATAAAATTAATATCTCAAGGAAAAAGCTTAGAAAATTATTTCATGGCAAAATGACTTTTCGAAGTTTTTACTGTGCATCTTCCTGGTTTTAGAGTAGGCACTTGTTTTTATTTTCACTATTGCTCTATTTTTAGCCATAACCACTAGTATTGCAGCAAATATTTCTTGAGTATTGTCCTATGTACTTTAAAATGAAAACTATCTGCTTTTAGAGAGCATACCTCTAATTGACAAAATATATCATTGCTACATGAAAAGACAATTGTTTGTTGCCTATTATTTCATTTTGATATTGGCATTGTAAAATGCAAGGTTGAAGGATTTGAAAGGCCAGGAAAGCAAAGGCAATCAACAGCAGAACACTTTTTGCTGGTACCTAATAAAGAACAGTTGGAGGGATGGAGCTGTAATAAATTATCGGCAAAATACCATTCTTTTTCTTAGGTCCAAATGGGTGAGAAACTAGCCACAAAATGCAGGCATAAATGAGATCTATCTGTTCTCCAGGCTACCTAGATTTTAAAAAAACAAAAAGTACCAAGGTATTCCTTATTATTTTTTTGCTTCATAGACTACATTTAATCTCCTAGGGAGCAACGTATGGTTCTTATATGGTTTATATAAATATATTGGACATTGATGCTCAATAAAAATAAAACTGGTTGTCATCTTTGGAACCCAAGAGCTATTGGGGCATGTGTGGTAAACATCCCCAGTTTATAATTGTGTAAAATTAAAATTGGCTGGGCCGGTGGCTCATGCCTGTAATCCCAGCACTTTGGGAGGCCGAGGCGGGCGGATCACGAGGTCAGGAGATTGAAACCCCATCTCTAATAAAAATACAAAAAATTAGCCGGGCGTGGTGGCGGGCGCCTGTAGTCCCAGCTACTTTGGAGGCTGAGGCAGGAGAATGGCGTGAACCTGGGAGGCGCAGCTTGCAGTGAGCCGAGATCATGCCACTGCACTCCAGCCTGGGCAATAGAGCCAGACTCTGTCTTAAAAAAAAAAAAAAAAAATTAAAATTATGGGAGTGAGTCACTTTCTGAAGGGCATAGTTAGGCTGAGGTCCTAGACCAGATTATTTTCTTCTTACTCCTCACTTTGTTATCTTTCCCTCTCCCTTCTCTGCCCTCAAAAATTGATAGTTGCAAGGAAAATGATAGTTGATTAGAAGACCTTTTGTTGTTTCATTATAATAACCGCCTTGTTTTATGTGGTAAGACAATCTATGGCCACAGAATGTTATTTAAATTACCATAGTGGCCTAAATCTGAGGATCTGTGGATTGGGTTTTCTTTTTCATGAGCTGACACTGGGAAATTCTGTTGTATCTATCAAAAATAAACACACCTGGCCAGGCACGATGGCTCATGCCTATAATCTAAGCACTTTGGGAGACCAAGGCGGGTGGATCACTTGAGGTCAGGAGTTCGAGACCAGTCTGGCCGACATGGTGAAACCTCATCTCTACTAAAAATACAAAAATTAGCCTGGCGAAGGGGCGCGTGCCTGTAATCCCAGCTACTCAGGAGGCTGAGGCAGGAGAATCGCTTGAACCCAGGAGGCGGAGGTTGCAGTGAGCGAAGACTGCCACTGCACTCCAGCCTGGGAGACAGAGCAAGACTCCATCTCAAAAAAAAAAAAAAAAAAAAACAGAATATTAAACGTTCTTATAGGCCAGGATCATGACGCCTGTAATCCCAGCACTTTGGGAGGCTATCATAGGAGGATCACTTGAAGCCAGGAATTTTGAGAGCAGCCTGGGCAACCCCAACCCCATCTCTTTTTTTTAAAGATTTAAACTAAATTAAACCTTAATTTAGCCATAGTTTTATTAAATTACACTGGGTACTTGATGACTGTCATCTTTCTTATTGGTTCTTCTTCCCCTTAGCATGGTAGATGAGGATGCCTGATGTGGCCCCTGCCTGTGTCTCCAGCTCTCTGCCCATGCTGTTCCTTTTTCTGTGTTCAGCCTTCTTTCAATTCCATAACGTGCTTGGTACCCTCCCAACTTAGGACTTTTGCTGAGGGAGTCATCCATCTAAAATGTTCTCTGCCGTTTGCCCTCCAACCCCCAGACACCTAAGACTTTGTAACTCCTCATCCCACTAATCAGCTGTAGCTCAAAAACATCTGTGGGGGAAAACTTGACTCCTTACTAGGTCAGTTCTTGATTTGACACCCTTGACAACCTATACTTTTTCTTCATAACTTAGCATTTTACAGTATAAACATATACTGTAATGTTTATACTGTACATAATGTATGTACATATGGAGGAAACATAATGTGTTTCCTCCACTAGATTGCAAGCTCTGAGGTGTCAGGAAATTTGTGCTGTGCTTCTTAAATCCCTAGCATAGGGTAGGCTAAAAGATGAATTAATCCCAAAGCAAAACTTTTATTGCCTCGTAATTATTATGTGTATAAACTATAATACAACATACAATTCAGTCTATTTTTTTTGTAGACAGGGTCTCACTATGCTTCCCAAGATGGTCTTGAACTCTTGGGCCCAAGCGATCCTCCCACCTGAGCCTCCAAAAGTGCTAGGATTACAGGCGTGAGTCACCATGCCAACCTTCCATCTATTCTTTGGAGCATTTGTCTGACTTCATAGTATATAAGTATCTTATTTATTTTATTTTTAAAACTTTTCTTTTTTTATCCACCCATCTGCACACTGGAGTATTTGATTTTAAACACTTGCTTCTTAGTCTTAGGTTTTATTCAAATTTAAATTGAGCAATAAAGAAGCATTGACAATCCACAGTTCACACTGAAATGTCAACATAAACATTTCATTTTATATTTATTGTAAAAGCAATATACAATAAAAATACAGAATAGCATAAGGTTACATTAAGGTGGAAAGTAAAAATCTCCCCCCCAACAGTCTTTCAATGTCACAACTATAAAGTTTCTTTAAAATACTACTTAATACATTCTAACAAGTCACAAGGCTTTGTTTCTTCTTATTTAATACATTCTAACAAGTCACAAGGCTTTGTTTCTTCTTGGTTTTATTGTTGAGATACATTAAAATATTAAGCATTGGCCCAGTGTGGTGGCTTACACCTGTAATCCCAGCACTTTGGGAGGCCAAGGTGGGCGTATCACTTGAGTTCAGGAGTTTGAGACCACCCTGGCCAACATGGCAAAACCCCATCTCTACTAAAAATACAAAAATTAGCTGGGCGTGGTGGTGCACGCCTACAGTCCCAGCTACTCAGGAGGCTGAGGCAGGAGAATTGCTTGAACCAGGGAGGTGGAGGTTGCAGTGAGCTGAGATGGCACCACTACAATCCAGCCTGGGCAATAGAGCAAGACTGTGTCTCAAAAAAATAAAAATAAAAATAAGCATCCCTACTGTTTAGAGGACTGAAACCCTATTTTGTAATAAAATATGGTTAACACTGTTGCGAAAAGCATGTTTGTTTGTTTGTTTGTTTGTTTGTTTTGAGACGGAGTCTCGCTTTGTCACCCAGGCTGGAGTGCAGTGGCGCAACCTCAGCTCACTGCAAGCTCTGCCTCCTGGGTTCACGCCATTCTCCTGCCTCAGCCTCCTGAGTAGCTGGCACTACAGGTGCCTGCCACTACACCTGGCTAATCTTTTGTATTTTTTTAGTAAAGACAGGGTTTCACCGTGTTAGCCAGGATGGTCTCGGTCTCCTGACCTGGTGATCCGCCTGCCTTGGCCTCCCAAAGTGCTGGGATTACAGGTGTGAGCCACCGCACCCGGCCAAAAAGCACAATTTCTTTACAATTAATATTCCTCATTAAATATTGCCCAAGTACTTATATATCCTACCCCGATCACCAAAATTATATAGTCTTATCTTGCAAATGTAGTACATATACAATTAAACAGTTGGAAAACATATAGAGATTGACCACAAATAAGGCCCACAAGGTACTGCTGTGTAATGTATCTACCATTAGGTTGATCAGGCCAGTTGTTATATTTGACAGCAAGAAAAATATTAACTGTTTTCTGTTGAGAGCTGTGATTAAACAAAGCCTGGGTTCCATTCTTTCAGCTTCAGGGATTAGATATTCTGAATGCTTTTTACTTGTAACAGGTGACTGGATAAGTTTCCAAGAACATGATACCAGAGCTCCTTTAATTAGAAATTTGGCAAAACTCAAAATTATATCACCCAGTAATAAACTACTAAGAAGGATCAGGCTAGAAGCAACTATCCAAATACAAAAGGCTAAATTTGCCATTCTTCGAGATACTGCTTCTACATTTACTTGAACTACATAAAGAGATATGAAGAGGCTAATAGCTGCCAGTAAAAGAAAACAGGCTACTTTTATCAAGTCTTTGATATGTGATCGGTTCTTATGCACATATAACCCTGTTTGCACACCAGCCATGTGTATTGCCACATACCCCAGGGTAGAGATTATTCCTTCGCGGTTGGCATTTAATAGACCAATCCGTGTGCCACTACCATCAGTGCCATACAATATTAACCTCTTCAGTGAGGTAAAGTCAAGGGCTAGCTGGTATAATACAGTAACACTGAGGGCAATAATCCAGGACTTATTTAGGGGAAAAATAATGAAAAGCAGTGGTGTTATCAATTTCACAACTATTATGGTAAAGAAAAAGTTCCAGTGAACTCCATACTCAGTTAAATGTTCCTGATAACCTATTGATTTTATAATGGCTAATCGTCCAATTCCTAGGAAGACTAATGGCCAAACGGAGTACAATGAGTTTGTAAAGTAATGCAATTTGGACCCTTCCATACATTTTCTCCTCCTGACCTCTAGACAAACCATTGCAGTCCCAAAAACAAAGCCACCTACTCCAAAATCCATTGCTCCTGTCCCATAGAGCTCAGTTTTGGCAAATCTTCTGGGAAAAAATGGGAAGTCCACAGCCAAAATAGCAATAGCAGTGAATGCACTGGTAATTACACGGAAACAGGAGATGGCTGGAATGTATTCTGATTCTAGACTGATGTTCAAGAATTTTTCAAGGATTTTTTGGAAAGGCAGTCTGGCATAGCAGGTCCTCCTTCGGTATATTTGATAGAACAACCCTGCCCCAAAGATAATTACAGCAAGAAGCTCAAGGAGGATAAATGAAGCCCAAATGGTCAAAGTGGCTACCATGGGAACTATTAGGACAACAAAGTCAATGAAGAATCTAGTTTTCCAGGTATGTGAGAAAGAGCACAAGTACTGTGAGAAAATTATCAGGAACCCTCTGCACAGGATACAGAATGCAGGAAAGCACAATCCCTGGGTGATTTCCAGCACGGTGGTTCCATTGAGGTTACTAACAAAAGCTTCCTTCATCTGCTTTTGAGACATTTTTCTTCCTGTGAAAACAAGAGCAAAGGAATGGATTTGTGAAAAGCAACATTCTTGTGTAATTAGCATACCTGGCTTAATTTTACTAGATTTCAGAGAAGAACTTTGGGCCCTAATGAGTTTACCTAGGATTTGTGATTCCCCTTCCAAGGATTGTGGGAAGAAGCTTAACACTAATGCATTTGGACAGAAATGTCATACTAATAGTATGAAATTATTGGTTACAAAGCTTCAGCTATTCCCTGTACAAGACAGATTCACAAAGAAAGTGAATTTGGGGCCGGGCACAGTGGCTCACACCTGCAATCTTAGCACTTTGGGAGACCGAGGTGGGAGGATCACCTGAGGTCAGGAGTTCGAGACTAGCCTGGTCAACATGGCAAAACCCTGTCTCCACTAAAAATACAAAAATTAGCCAGGCACGATGGCACCCGCCTGTAATCCCAGCTACTTGGGAGGCTGAGGCAGGAGAATCGCTTGAACCGGGGAGGTGGAGGTTGGAGTGAGCCGAGATTGTGCCATTGCACTCCAGCCTAGGCCACAGAGTGAGACTCCATCTCAAAAAAA